CATTTGCGATTGTATGCCCATTGGAGATCTTGAGGTAAAGCTAACCAGTAAAGTTTCTTCTCAATAGCAGATGGCAGCATTAATATAGATAGCTTTTTTGGGGGTAGGGGACAGAGTCTCACTCTGTCACCTAGGGTGGAGTGCAGTGGTGTGATCTCAGCTCACTGCAACTCCCGCCTCCTGGGTTCAAGCGATTCTTCTGCCTCGGCCTCCCAAGTAGCTGGGACTACAGGTGTGTGCCACCATGCCCATCTAATTTTTGTATTTTCAGTAGAGACGGGGTTTCATCATATTGGCCAGCATCTGTTACTGACTTTCGTTTTTGAGATTCAGTCTCACTCTTGCCTAGACCAGAGTGCAGTGACACAATCTTAGCTCACTGTAACCTCTGCCTCATGGGTTCAAGTGATTCTCATGCCTCAGCCTCCTAAGTAGCTGAAACTGCAGAAGTGCACCACCACGCCCCGCTAATTCTTGTATTTTTAGTAGAGATGAAGTTTCACCATGTTCGCCAGGCTGCTCTTGAACTCCTGATCTCAAGTGATTCACCCTCCTTGGCCTCCCAAAGTGCTGAGATTACAGGCATGAGCCACTGTGTCCGACCTGTTACTCACTTTTTTAACAACAGCCATTCTGTCTGGTGTGAGGTGGTATCTCCTTGTAGTTTTTTGTTGTTGTTTTGTTTTTGTTTACATTTCTCTAATGAGCATTTTAAAAAATATTTTTGCTAGCCATATACTTGTGTTTTGGAAAGCATTTGTTCATTTTTTTTGCCTACTTTTTATTGCAGTGGTAAATTGCTTTTTGTAAACTTGTTTAAGTTTCTTAATTCTGGATATTAAACCCCTGTTAGAAGAATAGTTCGCAGTTTTGTTTTTTTTTGTAGACTGTTTAGTCTGTTAATACTTTCCTTTGCTATGAAAAAACTCTTTAATTAGGTTCTATTTGTCAAGTTTTGCTTTTGTTGCAATTGCTTTTGGTATCTTTATTATAAAATCTTTGCTAGTTTCTATGCCTAGGATGATATTTTCTAGGTTATTTATGATCTGGGTTTTTTTTTTTTTAATTACAAGTTTTGTCTTTAATTCATCTTGAGTTGATTTTTATATATGGTGTAAGGAAGGGGACCAGTTTTTTTTTTTTTTTTTTTTGAGACGGAGTTTCACTCTTGTTACCCAGGCTGGAGTGCAATGGCGCGATCTCGGCTCACCGCAACCTCCGCCTGCTGGGTTCAGGCAATTCTCCTGCCTCAGCCTCCTGAGTAGCTGGGATTATAGGCACGCGCCACCATGCCCAGCTAATGTTTTGTATTTTTAGTAGAGACGGGGTTTCACCATGTTGACCAGGATGGTTTCGATCTCTTGACCTCGTGATCCACCCGCCTCGACCTCCCTAAGTACTGGGATTACAGGCTTGAGCCACCGCGCCCGGCCGGGGACCAGTTTTAATCTTCTACATAGTATTAGCTAGTTGTTCCAGCACCATTTATTAAATAGAGAATTCTTTTCACACTTCCCTCGTCAGTTTTGTCAAAGATCAGATAGTTGGCCCGCCTCGGCCTCCCAAAGTGCTGGGATTACAGGTGTGAGCCACCGTGCCTGGCTGTCAACATGAAAATCTTAGAACCCCCCTCCCCTTTTTGCAAGTGTGGCTCTTTAAGCTTTTCAGATCTTGTTTAGTGACCACTTCAGTTATGTGAGAGGCTCCAGGTGTAAACAGAATCTGATTACAGAATCTGTAAGTGTAAACAAGTTTGTTTTTTGTTTTTTTTTAAGACTGAGTGTCTCACTGTCACCCAAGCTGTAGTGCAGAGGCACGATCTTGGCTCACTGCAATCTCCGCTTCCTGGGTTCAAGCAATTCTCCTGCCTCAGCCTCTCGAGTAGCTGGGACTACAGGCATGCGCCACCATGCCCAGCTACTTATTTGTATCTTTAGTAGAGACAGGGTTTCACCATGTTGGTGAGGTTGCTCTGGATCTCCTGACCTTTTTGTCTGCCTTTCTCCGACTCCCAAAGTCTGGGATTACAGGCATGAGCCACCGCGCCCCGCACAAGCATCTTAAGAGTAAGAGTTCAAGGCCACAAAGTATCCAGAGCCGTGACCACAACTATACCTACGTTTAAATTGTGAAACTGGAGTATTCTTGTCCTTCTTCTTACCCAAAAGCTAGCAAATCAGGATAGGTGATCCAGCTTCTGGAGCTCCACCAAGGCAGTTCCATTTTCTATTTAGAATCAGCCTGAGTTTCTCCAGCCTGATTTATCGTTGTGCCTTCAGCCCTGGGTCACTGGGAATCCTCTGACAACCAGCTAGGTGTCTTTAAGACATTTGAGGATGTCCAGGGCAGAACTGTGTCAGGCTGACAAGAATGACTAATTCTGCTTCTGTATCAGTGTAAGAGAAAGAAGTTATCCTGTGTTATCTTCTCCTTGATACAAGAGTTAACTTTGGTTGGTGCCCAGATGAGAGTTTCTGAAGTTTTCTGGTACTTGGGTGAAAGAGAAAGAGGAGGTCTGGTGACTCAAATAAATGAATTCTTCCGTTTCATATGGCCATTCAAAAAATAGATGAAGCAGTCATGGTCCCTATCATCCGGGAACTTTTAGTCCAGACTAGCAACTGGATACATGGTTGAATTAAGCATCATATGGTTGGTGCAGTGAATAGATGTGTGCAAATAAAACAAAACAAAAAAACACCTTGGGTCACTTTTTAAAAAATGTTGTTTGACTTCTGTAATAACCTGAAGGGATATTTATGGACTGAAGAGTTATTATTTGTTTTTCTTTTACTTTTCTGAGAGTACATATTTATCTTCTAATAAAATTATCCTAGAAAACTTTAAAAGATTCATTTAAATTGCTTATTGGTGCTTTCTGTGCTGATAGCATTCATGCAAACATGGTAAACATTCCTAAAACCTGCCAGGCTTTCTGTAAGAAGTGTGGCAAGCACCAATCCCACAAAGTGACACAGTACAAGAAGGGCAAGGATTCTTTGTATGCCCAGGGAAAGCGATGTCATGACAGAAAGCAGAGTGTCTATGGTGGGCAAACTAAGCCAATTTTTTGGAAAAAGGCTAAAACTACAAAGAAGATTGTGCTGAGGCTTGAGTGCCATGAATCCAACTGCAGATCTAAGTGAATGCTGGCGATTAAAAGATGC